GCCTCGCCGAAAGGATGCGCTGTCCTCTGGCCCAGTGGTGCGCTGGATGCCCGGACACAGAGCCCGGAGACCCCGCTCTGCAGCTCTGCAGCCGCGGGCGCCTCCTTCGTCTCTGCGATCTCAGCGCCGATTTCTCCTCCCCTTCCTCCAGACTCTCCTCCCCTTCTCACGTCAGCAGAACCTTCGGTCCAGACTCTTCGTCAGACAGAGGAAGGGGGGCCAGGGCCCAGGAGAGGGAGGGGATGGGCTCTGTCTCCCTGCTCTGAGGGCTATTGCGGTAAAAAGGGGAAAAAGCTGAAGGATAGTAGCTAACCACACAGGTGCCAGAGATTCCTTCTTTGCTTCCAATTCTTCCTTATCAACTAGCCACCCACCCATCCATCCACTCATTCATTCATCAATAAAATTTATGAAGCTTCTACTCGGTGCTTGGCCTTGTGCTAGGCTTGGATATAATAGAATGAACAACACACCTTGCAGTTGCTTGCTTGGGGGCAGAAGAGTGTAATGACAATTACAGTACAGGACATGCGTGTGGAGGGCTGGGTTGGGCGCTGCGCTCAGCCCTGCTGCCCTCCTGCACAAGACCACTTCTCCATGTTTCACTCTGGTGAGGTACCATTTCTCAACAGCATTTGGCACTGTTGACCACCCCTTCCTCTAAGTGCTTTCTTCCTTGACTGCTAAGTCCCACATACTCCTGGTTTTCTTTCTCGCTTTTTAAAATTTTTTTTTTTCAAAGAAAGTTTAAAAAAATATTTTTATTGATTTCAGAGAGGAAGGGAGAGGGAGAGAGAGATACATCAGTGATGAGAGAGAATCACTGATTGGCTGCCTCCAATAGGCTTCCTACTGGGGATGGAGTACACAACCCAGGCATGTGCCCTTGACCAGAATTGAACTCGGGACCCTTCAGTCCATAGGCCGATGCTCTATCCACTGAGCCAAACCAGCTAGGGCTTGATCTTCTTTCTCTTGCTCCTCTTTTCTCCACTGCAGGCTCATCCTCTTCATCATCACTCAGTGTCTGATCCTCAGAGGCTTAATCCTACCAAGGCCTCCTCTTAGCTCACACTGTTCCCTGCACCCGGGGATCTCGCCCATGCCCACAGCTTCACCCTCAATATAAACAATACAAACCAACACATATCCGGTCCCCAGATTTACATTTCCGACTCCTGTTACTGAACCACCTCCCAAAAGTCAGGTTTGCGTGCCCAGTGCACCAGTAAGATAAACACTGAAACAATGGTGCTTGGAGATCAAGGTTTATTTGATTTGGCCAAATCAAGAAGACAGAAGAGCAAGAGCTCTCAAATCCATCTTCCGAAAAAAGCAACAGTAGAGAGTTTTTGTGCAGCTAGGGCGTAGGGGAGGGGGCGTTTCAGGGAACCGAGGGAGAAATCTGTTGATCATCAGTTTCACTCCCACCTCTCATCTGAGTCCGACCCTTGAAGCCTTCTTCTTTGACCTCGAACCTTGGATGACTCAGAGGGACCTCAAACCCCATGTGGCCATGCTCTTCCCCTACTAACCCGGTTGTCTTCAAGTATGTCCTCCATGAGTGGCACCCTCGT